AATACTTCCCTACTTCTAGATCATGAAACTGTTCTCTGCATTATCTTCTGAAACTTTTACTGTTTGGCCATCAGTTTGATTCTGAATCGAAACTGAATCCAAACATACCAAATATGTGCCCAACCTTCTGTTTCTTTAGAGAGATCAAGGGCTGGACTTGACCTATGCCTGCCTCTTCTCAAGGTGAGGCTTCTCCAGGACTTTTCACCATTCCTCCCTTCTAACTGGTGGCCATCACACATCTCCAGCCAGACCTCCAAGACCCCTCAGGGCATTCTTGGATTGAGTGTCCACCAGGCCACTTCCATCCCAGCCAACCAGCATCCATGTGCTCCTTTTGTAGGCTAACTCATATTTACCAGCTAGAATTAAATTAGTGCTGCTAGTTCAAAGGGAGAGAGGAAAATGCTTTTCTACATCCTGCAGCCCTTTCTGATCATTCCCCCAGCTCTCAAGCTTCCTCAAGGAAAAACATAGAAAATGTGCGACATAGAATTTAGGACAGGCATTCATAGTTAAAATCAGAAAATAGACCAGATCCCTGATAAAGCAGCTAAGGGCATAGCAGTACATTGGGAGAGAAAACTTTTTGCCTAGACAGATACATGATCTTGATAATGTGACTCAGTTGTGAAAATGGCTACAGATGGCACATTCCCTCTTTTTGTCTTCATAATTATGTTTGTTTTAATAAACAGAGACCAGCTTGTTCAAGGGACAGTTCCATTGCAGATGTAGTTTACTCTCCCATAAGCACTAGGACGAGTTCTGGTGGTGTAGTGCCTAAGGCATTTGACTGCTAACCAGAAAGCTGGCAGTTCAAACTTACAAGCCACTCCTCAGAAGGAAGATTGGGCAATCTACTTCCATTAGAGATACCACTTTGGAAACCCAAGGAGGGGTCCCTATGAGTTGAATTGACTCAATAGCAGTGAGTTTGGTTTTGGTTTTTGGTTTTTGGTAAGCACTAGGACTTAACACTTGCAAATTATTGTTATTTGTATTGGTTTTCAACATGTGGAAATGGCATGATTGTAATGATATTACAGAACTTATGTCAAGCATGGTTCTAAACCTTTCCTGTATTTATTAACTCTTAATCCTCATAATGCCCATATATCTTGCCTCCGCATCTCCATCCAGTGTTCATTTTTATTTCATACAGAACCTGTAGCCTGAGGTGCTCTCGTGGTCCTCTTGACCTGCCAATCCTCTTCCCCACTCCGAACAAGCCAGGCAGCCCTCATAGCCCTGCTCTCTTCCACACACACCACTTGGGACCAGGCTCTCCACAAAAAGGCCATGGAGTGACTTAGTTATTGTTTTCAAGTATCCAAACGATTCCTAAGAAGAAAGACCACTGCCATCTATGATGAACATGAGTTATCTTCTAAAATACTAGAGGCCTGAAGGATACTTTCTCGGAAACCCAAGGAAGGGTCGCTATGAGTCAGGTCTGACTCGATGGCACATAACAACAACAACAAAGGAAAATCAAAAGGATTTTATTTGGATATAAGAAGGAACTTGGACAGAGTCCAGCCAACCAAATCCACTGCCATTGAGTCATTTCCAACCATAGTGATTCTATAGAACAGAGTAGAACTGCCCTGTGTGGATTCCAAGGCTGTAATCTTTACAGAAGCAGACTGCCGCATTTTTCTTCTGCAGAGTGACTGGTGGTTCAAACTACTGACCTTTTTGATTAGCAGTCAAAAGTGGTCACTTTAACCACTGCACCACCAAGGGTCCTTGAACAGAGCCAGAATGATAAAACGATAGCACAGGCTATAGAGGATGTTTGTAGAGTCTTTGCCTAGAGAGATACAAACTAGTGTAGCCAAGCTGGGAACCTTTGAGCCCTCCTGAGTCCTTCCTCCCCTCCCCTTCCCTTTTAGTTTCTCATAGAGCAATGTTCACTTTTCTCACACCCAGGCCTTACCATCAAACAATTACCATATGGCATGGCAAGTGCAGTGAAGGGATTACAGAGGACCATGGCAGCATGAGGTGAAGGTGCCCTGTCTGCACAAGGGGTTGTCACGAATGCAGGCTATCTTGGAAGGTTGCAGGTTCAGTTCCTGACTTCCGCAATAAAGCAAGTCAATTTTTTGGGTTTCCCAATGCATATAAAAGTTACTTTTACTTTAGTCTGTTAAGTAAGCAATAGCATTATGAAAAAGTTTGAAATATTGTGAGAACTCCAGAATGTAGCACAGAGACATGAAGGGAGCACACACTGTTGGAAAAACAGCACCAATAGACTTTCTCAACACAAGATTGCCACAGACCTTCAATTTGTAAAGAACATACTACCTGCAAAGCGCAATAAAGTGAGGCATGCCTGTACTCCCTTTGAGAAAGTGAGTTCAAAGTAGGGACCTGAAGATACACAGGAGTTAGCTGAATCAAGGGGAGAATGGGTGCAGAATGTTTCAGCCTATGGGATCAGCTGAGCAGAGACCCAAAGGATGCCACCTAGGTGTCTGGCGTGGGCAAATGAGCAACTTAGCGGTCCCACTTGTGGAGTCAGAGAGCCCAGGGGAGAAGAAGGTGTGGGTGGGAAAGAATGACATTGGGGATAAGTGTAAATTTGTCATTCCTAGGGGGCATCTGAGAGGCATTTAGAAAGTTGAGCCAGGGATATACAAGAGAGAGCTGGCTGTGTATACAAATTTTGTTGTTGTTGTTAAGTGCCGTCGAGTCGTTTCCGACTCATAGCGACCCCATGCACAGCAGAACGAAACACTGCCCGATCCCGCGCCAGCCCCACAATCCCTGCTATACTCGAGCCCATCATATATAAATAATGTTTGAAGCCATGGGAGTGAATGAGTATATGTAAGGGAGACCAAGGAAGAGATAAGGAGTCCCTGGGGGGGCAAAAATGGTTAAGCTCTTGGCTGCTAACCAAAAGGTTGGCGGTTCAGACCCACCCAGGGGCACCTCCAAAGAAAATCCTGGTAATCTACTTCTGAAAGGTCACAGACATGAAAATCTTGTGGAGCAGTCCTGCTGTAACACATGGGGTGGCCATGAGTCTGGATTGACACAATGGCACCTGTTTTGTTTTACTTTTTAAAGGAAGAGATGGAGATATGCCTATCTCATGTCTGCACCATATACTTCTACCTACACTGTCTGATTAGGTAACCACATGTGGTTATTTCCATTTTACTTAAAATTAAACAAAATTCAATATTCAGTTCCTCAGTCACACTAAACACATTTCAGGTTCTCAGTAGCCTTATGGCTAGTGACTCCCATAACGGACAAATACTGTATATCTAGACCACTTATTTAGGAGTTCTGGTGGCATAGTGCCTAAGGCACTTGACTGCTAACCAGAAGGCTGTCAGTTCAAACCCACCAGCCACTCCTCAGAAGGAAGATTGAGCAATCTATTTCCATAGCAGTATCACCTCAGAAACTGTTCTGGTTACCTAGTGCCACTCTGACAGGAATATACCACAAATAGGATGACTTTAACAAACAGGAGTTTATTCTCTTAGAGTTTAGAGGCTTTAAGTCCAAGTTCATAGTGCCAGGCTCTAGGGGCGGTGTGAAAGCCCCTCGACCCTGGGCTTCAGCTGTGCCTCCTGCTCCCGGCCCACTGACTAGAGGCATTTCTTCACTCAGGCAACTGTTGTTGTTGTTGTTGTTGTTGTGTGCCGTCAAGTCGGCCCCGACTCATAGCGACCCCTCCTTGGGTTTCCGAGGCAGTATCACTACGGAAGTAGGATTGCCCAACCTTCCTTCCGAGGAGTGGCTAGTGGGTAACTACTGACTCCTAATAAGCCCAAGGTTAACAAATAAAATGGTTCAGTCCTGATGTTACCAAACCACACAGCAGGGCATTAATTCAAGTCCATTGTAAGTCCCAAGGTCGGCAGAGCATGGCAGGCGGCTGAACAACGACACAGCTACATGCAGGGTCCAAGCGCGCCATAAGCTAGAGACCATTCCCAAAGCTGCTTCTTATATACGGGAAGCAGACCATATACCCAAAGCAGCTACTCAGCTGCTTGTGGTAGATCCCACCATGAAGTTGATTGCCAGTCTCAACATGGGGAATAACCACCAGCTGCCCAGCTACTCAACCAGGCCCAGCCAAGTTGACACACAAACATAACCACCACAGAAACCCAAGGAGGGGTCGCTATGAGTCAGATCTGACTCGATGGCAGTGAGTTGAGTTTAAACCACTTACTTTGTATTCACAGTGCCAGGATTTAAAAAAAAAAAAAAAATGCAGTTCCAGTGATTGGAGACATTTAAGAAGTAAACAGGCAGAGGCCTTTGCTGCCTAAAGGTCAGGGACAGAACTCCATGTACCCATACTGCCCCAGCCAGCGGGGAAGGAGAATGGCCAGACCTCCTCAAGCAGGAGGAGGCTTGTTTGTTTTCTGCATTTGTCAAACTTAAATTTTACTTCCCTCTTGGACTCATGGGCAATAATAGCACATATGGACTTGAACAAGTAAAACATTTTAGATTGCCCTTCGAGATTGGTTGTTGTTAGCCACCTTTAAGTGGGCCTCTCAACTCAAGGCAACCCCAAGCCCAAAAGAAAAAAACCCTATCCAGTCCTGTCTCATCCCCAGTGTCAGTTATAGACTCAACTGTTGTGATCCATACAGTTTTCATGGGCTGATTTTAGAAGTCGATCGCCAGGCCTTTCTTCCCAGTCTGTCTTTGTCTAGAAGCTCTGCTGAAACCTGTGCAGCCTCATAGAAAGACGCAAGGCTCCCCTGACAGCTGGTTGGTGGCTGTGCGTGAGTGTGTTGCCAGAACTCCTACGTGGAAGGCCAGAGTTCTACCCAGAACCAGCACAGATCAATTACGGAGTGATACATTAAGTGTTTTCACAGAAAACCAGATTTTAAACCTTTCATTTCAGAAATAGGTTCTGAATTGTCGTGAATGTACATGGTTTGGGGTTTTGTTTCTGCCCTTTGTTTTTAATCTTTGTGAGTGTTCCTTTGCTCTTTCTTTTTCAGTCAGATGTCATGGATCAGAATTTGTTAAATTTCCTTCCAGAACAAGAACATTCAGAAGTTTATAAAATGCTTTCTTCCCATATGCTTGTGACAGATTCCTCCTCCCCAGAATACTTAAAATGTAAGTTTAACTTTACTGGTTTTACCAGATATAAAGATACAAATTTCACTTTTGAAAAGAGGTTAGAATGAATTAAGAAGGGAGGACTAATTTTAAGAATAATTTTCCTTGTGACTCAGAACACTTAAAGATTCTTAGGGGTATATTTTCAGTTTAAAGCTAAAACTGGAGCTTGAGATAATGTAAGACATTTAGCTTTTTATGATGAAAATTTGAAAGCATAGGGTTTAAGAATAAAACTTATTTTGCATGCATGGCAAGAGGTTTTCACTTTTCTTACATGAGAATCTCTTTGTAATAAACTGCAAAAATCAGTGAACAATCTGCTGATCTTGTAGGACAAATAATGCTAGATCGGGATAATGTCAACTAACCAACTGAAAACTGAGTAACTGGGTCAAACATCCAAATTCTGCCCTCCTAAGTCTGTCATCTGGTTATTTATGGAATTTCTATGCATATTTTATGTAATTTCTAAGTTTGGTTCAAAATATTTGGCAGCTAGGATAGAAGGCTGGCTCTGGTGCCTAATGAAACGTGTATCACTCAATGAAGCCTATGAAATTATACTTAACAGAGGTAGCAAAGATGCCTCTTACTTGTTCAAGCCTCAGTCCATCTTCCACGAGTAATGTTCCCTGTCATACATCTGATTTTACTTCATAGCAAAGCAAAAAGATTACATTAAAGAGAGAAGCTCTATATAAGTAGCTTTATTTTAATATACCAAATGAAAGCAACCGGAACTAATCCATGCTGACATAGCCAACCACAGACATCTGTGAGCAAATTAAGACTAATTGGGTCCAAATATGGAATGCAAGATGTCTGTGAACTATGGAGAGAAAGCCCAAAGCTGCGGAGGTTCTAAACCAGGCCTGAAAGTCAGTCATCATGAGAGAAATCTCCTGGCTGTGCATAGACTAAATCCCCCGTAAGAATTTTCACAAACACGCTATTTGTTTAGTCTGGAGTCTGTGTAACGCTTACATTCGCCTTTCTCTCTCTGTTTTTTTCTTTTAATGGTCCAGCTGACAACGATTTAGAATTTTATTGCCATCTTCTCAGAGGCAGTTTGAACCCAAAGGAATTTCCAACTTACGAATACATAAAATTTGTAGGAAATTTTCGCTCTTACAATGGTAAGCTTTAATTGTCATATAATTGCTACAGGGTCTTTTATCATGCAAACATGCACATGGGGGTATAAGCATCACTGAGGGAAGAGGAGGGAGAATATGTACTTTTACTCTTTGCATTTGGATTTTAGTGTTCCCGAGAGGCGTTTCTCTGCTCATAAATGTTATCTCCCGTTCCTGAGGAACGCACTCCCACACCTGTTTATGCCAGTGCACAGAGTCCCACTGAAATGCACAGTATTCATTTATTTATGTTCAGGCTGATGAAATAATTCTGTACTTGTGAGAAACAACTCACAGTTAATAAAGAGCAGGCTCGGCCCACACACTCACTTAAACAGGCCTTCGTTGTGACATGAAGATCCTTCACTGTGGTTTCTGCATTTTTATCTTCCTTTTCACAGTACTGCCTTTCGCATGTTTTCCCAGATCTGGAACACAGCCTACTGCTTGCTAAGGCCCTGTCTGCATAGTAAAGTAGCGTTTTTACCATTAGCCAGCAATCTACACTGGATGAATTATTATCAAACAGGGTAATCCAAGCAATGAAGTCTTATTTTTTTTTAAATTGCCCACATAACTTAATTGTCCAAGATCTGGCTGGAGAGACATCAACTCTAAGCTGTACTTTAAAAACTCATTTGTACTTTTGACCCATCTAAAATGGAAATGCAGGCCTCATGCCAGGAATTCGGAAACAAAAGCTCTAGCACACATCCCCATTGTGTGGCCTGTTGCAGAAAGGCCTGGTTTCTGTTTGCTTCGCTCCTCAAAACTCAACACAAAACAAATAACTTTGAAAGAGCCAACTCTTCAAACACCAAAGATTGGCGAAAACAAGATCATGTTGACGGGGAATGGTGGAAAAGGGAGAAGAAGGAAGGAGAAAACTGCCAAAAGGAAACTAATACTGAAAGATGAGCCTCAGAAATGAGAGGGTGGGAAGGTGAGACACAGACACGAGAAAGGAGACCATGGTGGTACTAATTTTTCGTCTTTTGTTACTATTGTTTAACTCTGGACCGATGGTCTATTACCCCAGTCAAATTAATCCCAGAGTTTCCACTAGAACCAGCCAAACTCAGGTCCTGAGTCCTGAAACTAAGGCTAACCAGGATTTTTCCTTCGGCCTCAGATGTCCCCCTGTTATGTGTTATTTGCATAAATATATATGATTTATTTTAACGGCTTCAACCAGATCTTAAACAGCATGATCCCACTGAGTGATTTTCAGGTCCAGTGTTCAGAGATCAACTTCCTTGTGGGACATAACGTGAGGGCTCAGGATGCCAGAGGGTTGGAAGTGTTGGGAGGTCATCTTCCCCAAATAGACCTCTAAATCTGTGAAAGCAAGATGAAACTAAAGCTGACAGTGCCTAGTCCAACTCATGACTAGTTGCCCAAGTTTCATGAGACTAACATTTAATGAAGGAGCTCTGGTAGCATAGTGCTTAAGGCACTTGACTGCTAACCAGAAGGCTGGCCAATCTACTTCCTTAGTGATACCACCTCGGAAACCCAAGGAGGAGTCACTATGAGTCGGGTCCAACTCGACAGCATATAACTACAACAACAACAACAACATTTAATGAATGTTTAATGAGTTCCTTGGGATATCCACTTAAAGAAACTGACTTAAGAGGCCCATTGTAGGAAACCCAGACCCTTTGCTGACAAGTTGATTCCAACTCATGGCAATCCATATGTCTCAGAGTAGAACTGTGCTCCGTAGTGTTTTCAATGCCTGATATTTTGGAATTAAATCTCCAGGCCTTTTTTCCTAAGGTGCCTCTGAATGAACTTGAACCTCCAGCCTTTGGGTTAGCAGCTGAGTGCGTTAACCATCTACACCAGCAGGAACTCCATAGAAAACTCAACAGGATACCAACCCCTGGTGCTGTGGTTCATTGGTCGAGGTGTCTTGTTAAAAATGCAGATCCTCGGGCCTCACTGTAAAGATTCCGGTTCAGATCTGAAGGTGGAGCCTGGGAATGTGCAGTTTGGAAAGGACTCGGAGTCTGGTGTAAAAAGTCAAGGACTTTGAGGAACACTGACCTGTTACAATACAGAATGCCATTCCATAGGAATTTTAACCTCATTTATGACGCTCTTTCCAGACCAACTTCATCTTTGAGTTAACGTGCTGTTGTTAGTTGGTGTGGAGTTGATTCCAACTCATGTAGACCCTATATGTTCAGAGTACAACTGCTCGATATGGTTTTCAAGGCTTTGACCTTTTGGAAGCAGATCGCCAGGCCTGTCATCTTCCATGGTTCAAAGTGGGTGGGGTCATACCACCAACCTTCCAGCTAGTAGTTGAGCACTTAACTATTTATGCCACCCAGGGGCTCCTGAATTAATAGAAGCAGTAGTTTAGAATTTGCTTAAAATGTGTATGCTGTGGCCATAATGACTGCTGCTGAGACAGCAGTATAGCCAAAGTGGGCACTGTTCACAAAGGGGAAAAGGCAACCCCTAACCCCCAGAGTTCTGGTGGCAGAGTGGGTAAGGCCTTTGGCTGCTAACGCCAAGGTCCATCATTCAAACACGCCAGCTGTTATACAGGAAGAGGATGAGTCAGTCTACTTCTGTAAGGATTTATAGCCTTGGAAACCCGATGAGGGTCACTATAAGTCAGAATCGCCTAGATGGCAGTGGGTTCGGTTTGGTTTGAACCCCCAGAGTGTCATGACTGGGAATTATGGGCTTCTGGCCTGTATGACTGGACTCCCTGAGCAGCCTGAATGGTTAAATGCTTGCCTACTAACTGAAAGATTGGCGGTACAAACCCACCCAGAGGTATCTGGTCTATTTTGGAAAAAGTCATGGCCTTGAACACCTTATGGAGCACAATTCTAATCTGACACATAAAGGGTCGCCATGAGTCAGACTCAACTCAAGAGAAACTGTTTTTATTGTTCCTGTGAGTCCACATGACAGCAGTACACACGCTTAGCAAAAGGAAACTGGCCTCTGATTGGCTGCTGAGCAGCAGTTGTATCTTTTGTGAATTGACATTTCCAGAAATCTCATGAAGATGCTGCTGAATATCACTTTGAAGTTTCTTGTCATGTATCACATGTTAGAGGATTTCAAGGAAACAGCCAGACTTAATTCTGAATACCTGGGAAATTTTTTTAACTAACAAAGCTTTCTTTTCAAATCGAGACAGTGTTTGTTTGCCTGAAAGAATGTGTGGAAATTATGTGTGATTTTTTTTTTTTCTTTTTTGGGAACTGTTACTGCTGTAAACATACAGCTTTGAAAGTGGAAAATTTAAAAGCAAGAGTACAGTTGTCTTTCCAAAGCCTATTGTACAAATTGACATTAGGGTGGCTTCCTTTAGACAAGAGACCCCAAGTGGACTTATGGAAGACATGAACCCTAATCCTAACTTGAATTAAAACAGACAGCAAAGAATGTCTAGGGCAAGTCAATCTCTAAGACTAAACCATATGAAATCACCAACATTTGACCATTTTTGACCTATAAAGTATAGTTTAATGTAGTCTAAGAAATAATTTGAATTTGATTTAAATGTTAATTCCTCAGTAAACATTGAACACTAGGATAATAAAAATATCTCACAGAGTGTTCGCTAAATACCAGGCATTTAATCTCATTTAATCCTTGGAGCATTTTTACTAGGTGTCACTATTAGCATCATGCCAACATTACAGAGGAAGAAATTGATGCATAAAAGAGTTAAGTCTGAGGTCCACGGATAGAAAGTAGGGACCCAGATTCATACCCAGACCCTGTGACCTTCTGACCCACACTCTTAACTCCAGTGCTTTGCTGCCTCCCACAAATCCATGTAGAAATTAAACATCTAGATACATCACATAGGCCAGCATCTACCACCTGATAGTCTGTTGGTACCTGATGCCTATACTTGTGTACCTATGTACCTCAGATGTACTGCATCCATCCACTAAGTTGCCCCATGCACCTACCCCAACCCCCAGCCATGGCACAGAGGTAAAAAGGAACATGGAGATTGCAGAAGAAAGATGATTGTGAACATAGGTTTTATTTTAATAGAATACCTGCTCACACCTCCAAAGAACTAGGTCAGAAACCCTTCTTTCATCCATGACAGTGATCATTCCTCATGCTTGTGTAGGGTGTTTAGTTTATGGAGCATTGTCTCTTGCCTTCTTATCTGATGTCTGGAAGGAAATATTTGTTGTTGTTAATTGCCAGTGAGCCAGCTCTGGCTGAAGATAGTAGGCTCTCGTTTTATCAATGAGGGAATGGAAAGGACCCCAGCCCTACCTGAACCCAGCACAGGCCTTGCCTGGCACATAGTAAGCACCCAGTAAAAAATACGTTAATCTAAATTGAGGCTCATAGATGCTGGCCCTGGGGCACACAGCTGGTAGGGAGCAGAGCCAGGACTCCAGCCAAAGGCTTCCCACTCATCGAGAAAATAATGCTCTTTCTGGGAGCTAAAAACAGAGCTTTCCTTGACTGACCCCCAAGCATACTCCAGGGATATAGTGACAGCTTCGAGGAGGGTTCCTGCCACTTCTTTTCCTTGAATCCAAATGAAGATTAAATACACGCTGGTCTAACACTGGGTAGGGAGTCCCTGGGTGGAGCAAATGCTTCACTCACTCAGGCTGCTAACTGAAAGGTTGGCAGTTTGAGTCCCCCAGAGGTGCTTTGGAAGAAAACCCTCTGGAGCACAGTCGTACTCTGACACACAGGGGGTCACCATGAATTGGGGTAGATTCACTGGCAATTGGTTGGAGAGTTCATCTCTGGCCTCCTCATTCTGTGCCCCTCCTACCTCGGCTCCCTGGGGCCATCCTGAAGGGGACAGGTGTTTTTACTTAGGCCCCTCACTAGAGTGCACCCAGCCAAGACTGTGTGTAACACATTCTCTTCCTCTCCTAGAACTCATCTGACCAATTAATTTGGCAAAAGACTGCTAGAGGGGCTACCAAACCAAACCAAACACACTGCCATCAAGTCAGATCTGACTCATAGTGACCCCT